CTAAACCTGGCAATTGAAATTTATCATTCAAATAACATTTCACCAATCAATACTTAATTCATGCAAGTTAATAGCTAGTGGCAAATTTGTAAGGTTTCAAATAAGTTCTAAAAAAAAGTCGACGTCATCGTTTAAATATTTCTATTAAACGCATTTAACAGAAATTAGACATTATCGTTAAAGACATTTTTCTCATTGAAAGAAATGAGGAGATTGTTTACTTAAATTTAGAAAGATTTAAATGTTTAACATAAAACACATAGAATAAAACTTTACAAGGAGGATAAATATTGTGAACGCTATTTAAATTGCATAATTGAAATGTCAAATTAATCATGTAAATACGCATTATTTTATTTTGTAAATTTAATTTTTATTTTGTAAATGTAATTTTTTAGCATAGTTACCGACGGAAGTCATTGGTGAGGAATCACCGATATTGACAATCTTAAAATGAAGATATTCGGGAAATTATTTCATCATGGAAAGAAAAAGAAAAAACGACACGATTTAAAAAGAACGTCGCAGAGAAGAAAGAATTACGTACCTCAAGACAATTTCCTTTTAACTGGAAATCAACAAAGAAGAGATAGGCGAAGGCACAAGGTAAGCACAGTATTTTTTCAAATAAATTCAATCAATCAGTATCCAAATTTTATATAATTTTAAGCTAAAATTAAAGATAATATTTAACAATAGTAATGATAGTAATAATAGCGATGCAGTGATAATATTTGTTTTACAATAAAACAAATATGTTACAAGTGCCAATGTATTTATGTCCAATATTTTTCAGTAGACAAACAAATTAAAATAAGCTCTCTATTAATAAAAATATTATTCCAAATTGATTTGGGACTTAAAGCCATCGCTAAGGACGCATACAAAGAAAAGCGTCAGTTTAGCTGGAATATGACACACCTCACAAGCAGCTGGAATGTGTCGTTCTGGCTCAGGTATCACTCTTTTGTGTCCCCCATTCTAACTTTCTTTTGGATTCGCAGGTAGTGCAATTACATTTGATGCAACACAAAAACAAATGCAAGTTGAAAGCCAAAGATACTTACTTCTCGTGAAACAATATTATTATTGATCCATTAAGCAATCATAAACACATATATGTACGTGTATGCATCTGATATGACGTACAATTATTTGTCTCTTAACTGATAATTAAAAACAAACGAATTAAACGTTTTGTTTTAACATCGTGATATGAGATAATGCAACGTTGGAAGGATAAGGCTGATTAAAGGGATAAAATATTAATTAAAATGAGACAGAATTAGATGTGCGTATTGCTTGTTTCGTTGATACGCCAATTTGGCTACTTTCAGCATCTCGTACTGGTCCACTTATAATACGTGCATTCATCGTCATGCACGCGCACGTGCGTTACGTCCAGATGTGACTTTCACATAACGGGTGTTCTAGTTCAAATAGATCCACATTAAATCCATTAAATATTATAAAAACTTCACGTACTTTTGCATCATATTATACTCATTCCATGTATTTTTCCATTTCTACAGCTTCTATGAACTATTATTTATTTACCATGTTTATAATTATTTGTGGGAAATTTAAAAGTATAAATGTGCAGAATACAAATACATGTAAAAAAATATTTAAAATATTCAAGAGCCTAAAGCGCTCATTATAATATTTAGTGGATGAAATAAATCATCTGTTTGATCATACTCCAAAAGAAAAATATGAAATTGCATGTACACTGGCAGACCTGTTAATTACAATACTAGTGAAACAATGTACATATCAAGTGTGCATATAAACACAGAGCTCATGCCTCGAGATCGGGCCCATCACTAGTGAAGCCGAAAACCGGTGCGCAGACACGCGCATGCTGTACGCTCCCTACTATTCCCCAGTCCCCTAGTGCAGGTCCGTGAGTCCGTGGTGCCCCTACCATTTCCCCACTGTCCGCGACACGTTCACTCAAGCAGGCTTCGTACTCTTCCCCGCAGCCGCCAAGCCCGTTTCTCATCCGATTTGCGTCGACCTGCCGCCTGCTTTGGCCAAGCCACGCTTTAACGAAACTACGAGCCGATCTTCGGCCTAAGAATCTCTCTCGACTTCCTGATATGCGTACAGCCTCCTATTAAGCTGTTACAACTTCTTCGTTCGTGTACTTTCGTCTCCATTTCGTCAAGTGCTTCAAAGTGAACCCCTCGGTGGCCGTATAGTGTGCTGGCGGTGAATCTTTTCCAGTGTGCATTCTACGCGTGGAACATTCGCTCGGATATAATATGAAAAGTTGTGCCAGTGCAGTTTGCAGTACCAATAGCTGGATCTTGGATTTTCTGTTATGAAAATACACCGTGGGATCTCTGAGCTTCCTTCTTTCAACTTGATTGCAACTGTGAGATGTTCTTCTCGCCGCACTGAATATCACGATATTTTTCCTTTTTTTTTTTTTTTTTTTTTTTTT